AAGGTTCAGACACAAACTAAATGATCAGAGGACAAACTGCTCAACCTTCTCCTTGAATTTGTAGCTCTTCATGACGTCACGCACCTTAAACTTTCTAAACCCATCCAGACTAGAGACTTAGCCTACTATTGTTAGATGAGAAGGATTTCCATGAATATTTAAAAAGACTAATCTCTTTGTATTTTGATGTACTACACCTGATCTGTTATGGGACGCCTTTAAAGCATGTTTAATAGATATCATTTCTTTTGAATCTTCCAGAAGAGAAATGGGACAAACTTGTTGAAATGGATAAACTAATGAAAGAGTTCGATAAAGAGAATGCCCAAACATTGTCCATTACACTGCATAAGCAAATTCTGTCTTTAAAATATGAATATAATAATTTTGTTTCAGCAAAAATCAGTAAATTTTTTTGGCTCATCAAGTAGAAATACTTTGAACTGGGTGATAAACCACACAAAATATCATCAAGACAACTGGAAAAACAGCAACGAGTTTGTGCAATACATAAAACGAAAGGTGGGGTTTAACTAATCCTAAAGCTTTTAACTAGTCATTTATACAATTTGACCAAAACGTAGGAAACACATTTGAAAGTCCAGAAAGGAAGGAGGGTTGGCACTGCTTAACTTCTTGTTCTGTTACTGGGCTTCATGACGTATTGGCCAGCTGACACTGGGGAACCCCCTGCATGGGTGCAACTGGAGCAGGAAGCATGCCAACCTTAGTCTAAGAGCTATACTCTTCTCTCCCCTGCCGTGATACATCTCTATACAACTGCAATGTGGTGATACACAGTGCCATACATGCGTCCAAGTAGATTAAATCACATTTTAGTTTTGAAGTCTTTGTCCTTAGACCTACCCATTGCAGAAAATTTGTCTTTTAAACCATTTATTCTAGACAATACGTTCAGAGTTTGGAGACAGACCGGACGCTGTAAAATTTGGGACCTGCGTGTATACCGAGACGGCGTTTAGCTTTTTTCAATCAGATACGAGAAACATGCAAGTTACCAAGGAGGGACTTCTTCAGATACCTGCAGATAATAGACCATGCCAGGAACTACGTACAGAACTCTGAACTCTCAGAGTTTTGTGTCATCATGATGTCATGCCTTCAATTTCCATCTCGTTGTGAACAATTCATCTCTCATATCTTTGAGAGTCTGATGTCCATGAATCTTGTGAACTTGTCTTTTATCAAATCTAAATGGGTAAATGAATTGTGTATCACAATTACTGATGGTCAGTGGGAAGACCTGGAGAATACACACAAATGCTCTTACAATAAAGGATACTGTTTGACTCGGTTCAGCACTCTACATCGCCCACACTTCTGGAGAAAGGTTACAGAAAATCCACCCTCAGATCTCCTCCATTCGTGAGAAATTCTTCCTTGCTGAAGATATCTTAAGCCATAATGTTGTTTTTGTACCATTGTCCAAAAATATTAGGCTAATGTCTTTGATTTAATATAAATGAGTCCTGGAGGCTCAATGGGATTAACCTGTCTAAATAAAGGTTGAATGAAAATGTCTCAAATTCTTCACATACAGTTGAATCCTGATCCACTAACAATCATTCTTGGCACTTCCGATAACATTATGATGTTGAACAGTGCAAAGCAGTTCTTTATATCCTATTGTACAATTGTTGCAAAGAATCATCTTTTTACTCACTGAAAGAAAACCAGATGCTCCTCCCTTAAAGTTCTGCCTAATAACCTTGTAAAAACATAACATCTGGAAAGGATAAGTTTACTCTGATGGACTTTCCTCCTGTAATAAAATTTGGACACCTCTCACTAGATTTTTGCCGACATAAATAATAACAATGTTTTTGGCTCCTCACTGTGAATTAGAGTGGTGGTTGTAGTGGGAAGAGGTGGTGCAGAAGTTAGAGAAGGCGATCCTGCGATTGGAAGGTCGCCGGTGTGACCCCCCCCCTCCCGAACCAAAATCAAAAATATGGTTAGAAAAGGTGAAGCACCCACACCTGCCTCCACTCTCATTTTCCCCAATCTGTGCCCTTGAGCAAGGCCCTGAACCCCCACCATGTGCTCCCCCTAGATGCAGCTGTCTGCTCCTCAGAGGCTGTGGTCGCTCGGTGTCTGCGGTTGAGTCAGGAAGAAGATCTGGTGTAAAAACCGTCATGAGGTCTCGGTACAAGTTAGTTTGCTGTGGTGACCCCTGAAGAAGGGAGCAGCCGAAAGAAGAAGAAAGAAAAAAGAAACCGTCCAGATGAGGTTGAAAAATAAAACTCACAATTTGTGCTGTAATGTGTCACATAATTTTCTTCTTGTTAGAATTAATATTAATTACAAAACTGGTACCGAAAAAAGAACCGTCCAGGAACCAACACCGAAGTGAAGGTACCGACACGAGTTTTGTACCCAGCATGTTGGCGTCAGGGGCTGATGTTAGGAACACGATAAGGTGTAGAAAATATATTCTTTGCCTTAAACCATGGAACCAGTTCATCAGAACCAAGGGTTCTGTAGAAATAGTCCTGTGCTCCATGGATGGAGGTGAAACTGTTTGATAAAAAGCTGCTTTGGTCCATTTATTAAGACCGTTTGGACTCTTTAAATTCTGCTTGTATGAGCATGGTTCTGGTTCCGGAAAGTCCTGTGAGATCTAAAGTTTATTTTATTTCACTCTTCCAGAACTTCAACAGCAACATGTTCCTGCTGGTAGGGCTGGGTACCTTTCTAAGAAGATCTGTACTGGTACCTTCACTTCAGTGTTGGTTCCTGAACGGTACTTCTTTCAGTACCGATTTTACAATTAATATTAATTCTAACAAGAATAAAATGATGTTACACATTACAGTACAAATGGTGAGTTGGCCAGCCAAAAGCTTTGTTCATGCACATTTTCAGCGTGTTGCTCATAAATTAGGTCTACCGGATTTTTCGATGTATAAGTCGTAGTTCTTTCACAGATTTCTCAGTCCTGTGACTTTATACGCCAAAGCGACTTATATATGTTTTTTTTCCATATTCATAATGCAATTTTTGACTGACTCTTTAAATTTCGAAGAACTGCAACAGCGAGTCCTCACGTGCATGCTCTCGCTTTATGCACTTTGGTAACAGTTCCTGTTTTAAATGTGCTATACAAATAAATTTAACTTGACTCAGCTGGTGCAGGCGGAGGAACGCTGGAGAGCTAGTGGCTCTGGCTGCGATGGATGGATGGATGGATGGATGGATGGATGGATGGATGGATGGAT